TTTGTAAAATATATATATATATATATGTTTAGTAACTTAGAGATATATAATAACTTGGATAAACATTACAACATGATAAAAGCATAAGAGAGTCCAGGACTCTTTTCACTGTGTAGTAATGATTGAATGAAAGTATTGTACATCAATTTACATCTCTTCCTTAACTATTGTAGTAGAAAAAATGGAAACCAGCAAGTAAAAAGTAAATAGAAAATATGTTTGTTTGTTTTTTCCTCCGCTGTAGTTGACATTCAGATAAATCGGCATGGCACTGTGATCACATTTTTGATTAATTAATAATTGTGCTATTTTCTTCTGTACACCCACCCCAAGTCATAAATGAATCATGAGTAGAATTCTTTCTCAAATTTCTTAGCTGTAGGGAGATATGAGACTTCCCATTCAAAACCTACATCCTTTGAGGCAACCTAGCTTCGTCCTGATGTAGTGGATCAAGGGATTTGGGATAGGACTGACATGGGAACTCCTTGTTTTCAAAGAGTTTTCCCACTTCCTCCTCTCACTTAGGCCACATGAGGGAAAGCTTTAAAAGGAATATTATGAAACGTCAAGTTATTAAGAAATATAAGTTTCTTAAACACATATGATATTGTGATAAGTTTTTTATTCCTGATTGTTGTTGCCTAGGTTCTCTATTACTTTAACATTTGTCTTAAAAGGTCATGTCTATCTTTTTTAAAAACACAAAATTTATTTATAAAATCTTAGCCCAATGTACAACATTGACCAATGTTCAATCTACTATACTCTCAGTGACAAAATTAACTCTAAATCAAGAGTTCTTAATTTTTTTTCTGTCTGTATGTCATGAACCCTTTTGCAATTGGGTAAAGCCCATCTTCTCCATTTTCTAGGACTTTCCTTATCCTTTGTCATATAGTAGCTTACATATTCTCTAACCCCACCCCTTCATTCTCTCTGAATCCTGTTGGTGTGTGATTAGCTGATAAGATAAATTCATTCAATTTAAGGTATTTATGGCTGAAGATAAAAACACATACTATTAAGTGGTATAGTGGATAAAATGCTGGACTTGGAGTCAGGAAGACCTGAGTTCTAATCTGGCCTCAGACACTTCCTATTTGTATGATCCTGGGCAAGTTTCTTAATTGCTATTTGTCTCAGTTTCCTCATCTGTAAAAATGAGGATAACAATAGCATCTCCATCACAGGGTTGTTTTGAGAATAAAATAATATTAGTAAGGCCCTTTGCAAACCTCAAAAAACTATATCAATACTACCTAGGTATTATTATTATTATTAGTATTATTAATTATTATTGTTTCTCTCCCCTTTCCTCACTACTGTTTACACTTTAGTGATGCCCCATATATGCCTGAAGTTAAAAGCCAATGTAAAGTGGGAATTTCAGGTAATGGGAATAGTAAGGGATCAACAATATTTGGGAGATGGAGCCCTCACTTGCCCATCATTTCAATACCCATCATTTCAAAGTATGTACACAGTAGGCAATCCCCCTGTATTTGAAACTGGTACTTATAAGGAAGCCCTCTAAGAGGGATCATATGAACATATTCAACAACTTCCTTAATATTCATGTAAGAGTAAGAGGATCCTTGCCTTTGTGTGAAGGCGCTGCATATCAGTGTTCTTTTCTAAACCAAGGCATGTAGTCCTAAGAGTGGGCATATGTGTAAAAATTCTCCTAGACTCACTTCCTTTCTGTACCATTCTGTGTACTTGTAGGTATTTCTACTTTATTGTGCATAGTCCATCCTAAATGATCTATCTAGATATTTAGGTCTCCAAACAAAATTTTGCAAAGAATTGTATTTCCCTTTGTCAGTTGCAAAACTGCACAATCCCCAGCCCCTCTGCAATGAAGGGACTAAGATTTAACAGTGTTTAGATATATGAAAAGAAAATGGGGCTAGAGATTGTCTCTCCATTTGACTTTTGTTTCTTTTGATCATTTGCAATTTTTTTTCTAAATACTAGAGATACATAAATAATAAATGTCCTCTAAACTAAATAACCAATCTTTGTACAAGTAAAGAAGGTTTAGATGAGAGTATTATATATTAGTTCAATGTTTAGTGAATGTTAGAAATCCTGACAGCACTCTTTAAGTGGAGTAGTAGATGGAACATTGGCCTTGGAATCAGGACGATCTTAGTTTAAATCTTGTCTCAAGACACTTAGGAGCTATGAGACCTTAGGCAAATTAATTAATTTCTCTTAGCTTCAGTTTCCTTGCATATGAGGTAGTTAAAATTGTAGCACCCACCTTACATGGTTGTCCTTACAACCTCTCTCAAGTAAAATAACATGTATAAAACTTAAATCTTAAAGTGCTATATAAATGCCAACTATTATTTGCTGGATAGTATCCTTTCTATTGTTAGAAGAACATGGAAATTATTGGTAGGGGGCTAATTCTTTTTATTATTTTTATTTTTGCTTTTTTTAGGCAATTGAGGTTAAGTGACTTGCCCAGGGTCACACAGCTAGTAAGTGTCAAGTGTTTGGTCTGAGGCCGGATTTGAACTCAGGTCCTCCTGACTTCAGGGCCGGTGTTCTATCCACTGTGCCACCTAGGTGCCCCTAGGGGGCTAATTCTTAAGATTGACCGTTTAATCTTCAAATATGTCATGGGTTATGGCCGTGTAACCAGGAGACAAGATCGTTGAGAAGCTGTTTCCGACAGTATGACATCTAGTGCTGTGTCTCACATTGAGGCTTTCTGCAGGAAGACGTCAGGCACATATATGGGCTGAACTCCTGTAAACTGATATAAATGCTGTGGTTATAGAGCAAACCATGAATAGTGGTAAGAGAATCAGATGAGACCTCTTCTTGGCAGAGAAATATGGTTCTTGAGAATCTGTTAAATGGATGACTTTCCCCACATGGATGTTTTTGTATGTGTGTGTGTAAAATCTAATTTGATTGTATGTCCATGTATCAATATATATTATAAACTGACTAGAGTGGTAGATATACCACTGTGCTGTCATTTGGTCAGTAACATCTGGGTCCTTGATGACGACCTTCTAAGTTCTGCTCTTTTCTGTCAAGCCAGACCATGCCCACATTTGCAGCAGTATGATATACTCTGTAGGTTTCTGGACTTGGGAGTCAGGAAGATTTGGGTTCCAAGCCTGCCTCCAACACTCTGAGCATCAGTTTCCTCATCTATAAAATGGAGATAAAAATATGTGCAACACTACTTCATACTATCCCAAACTTCATAGTATTATTGTGAGGATCAAATGAAGGAGGGGAAATGAACATTTATTAAGCACTTACTGTGTTCCAGGCATTGTGCTAAATGCTTTACAAATATCATCTCATTTGATCTTTATAACAAACCTGTGAGGTAGGTACTGTTATTATCCACACTTTACAGTTAAGGTAACTGAGGCAGACAGCAGTTAAGTGAATTGCCAAAGATCACAGAGCAAGTAAGTATCTGAGGTTTGATTTGAACTTAGATCTTTCAGACTCCAGGGAATACCTGACTCTGGGACCCCAAATCCATAGCTCCTTATTTGAGATTATGCAATACTTTAAGGGCAATACATATGTTAGCTATTATTTATATTACTAGTCAGAAATGTTAATTTTTTCAGTCTCTTCCCTTTGCCCACCTACACTTTCTAAAAGGCTGGTTGAGGGGTAGTCATTTAGCTGTCTATAATCTAGGACTGTACCACTGGGGGAAGCAACTGACTCACTCTTTATTATAATTGAGTATTTTACTAAATAGTACAAGGTGTTTTCTTTGTGTATAGAAATATTTCCAGGGAAGGCCATCAGAGTTATAAAGTATTCAGATCAAACAGAGAACTTCTTGCATCCCACAGCTGACCTAAATTTGTCGACTCAAGTATATTAAGTACGGTTGGACATGATGATAATTTTAAATTTAACTGTAATTTAATTTTAAATTATGCCAGAAGTTCCATTTTAAGCATAGAAAATTGAATGCTTTCAATGCTGGTAGACAGAAAATGAAAGATTTCTGTGTCATTCATTATTCTACAAGCATTTATTGAGGCCCTAATCTGTGCCAGGCATCAGGCTGATATTGAATACACAAACATATAAATGTAAAAGTTCCTGCTCCCAAGGAACTTAAATTCTTCTTTCAGAAAGTATGCCAAATATTGTTATTGTATGTAAGTCTTTAAAGAAGCACTGATTTAATTAAAAATAATTCTCATTTATATCAAACCCAAGACTTACATTATAAAAATATAGTGGTTTTTTATTTGAGAACATTGTCCTGTTTATTTAAAATTAAAAGTCAAGAGCACTATGATGATATTTTGAATAGAAAACTTTCAGGGTGGATAGAAAGCCATTCTAGAATTAGGAAATCCTGAGTTCCAGTTCAACCTCTGATCAATACTGGCTGTATAATCTTGTGGAAACCTTTCAATAACCAAAGCAATTATCTAGGATTATAAGTTGCAACACAGGTACTGAACAGATAGAAGGAGTTTTATCACTACGACTTCCAATGAAATCACATGTCTGGCATAATAAGTAATAATAATAATAATAATAATAATGTTTAAAAATTGTGGGTTTTTTGGGATAATTGATTAGAGGTAGTGTGCTTTAGTGCCAGTGTTGTATATGTGGCTGGAAGTTTAGTATTAGGAAGACAGGGGTTGAAATCCAGCCTTAGACACTTTCTAGCTATGTGACACTGTATGTGTATCAGAAAACATCCTGGACCTATCTATTAAATTATAGATGTGTTGCATTTCAAATCTGCAGAAGGAGTTCCCAGACCAGGGGTTCCCAAAATTGAAGAAATCACAGATTTGTGTGTATTTGAGTAACAGCCAGAGGTAATAAGTAAAATCCAGACTTTTATGATCAACTCTGCTATTATTTACTGTTCTATGAATTCCTGCGGTGCTCAGTAGTTTGTTTCTTTTTTTCTAGTGGGTTGTTTCTGGTTGAAAGCCACATCTAAATGAGGAATGAAATGTTCTCTTTTCTAGTGGTGAACTGTTCTGATCCAGGCTTTGTCGAAAATGCCATTCGTCATGGGCAACAAAATTACCCTGAAAGCTTCAAGTATGGGATCAGTGTCATGTACCATTGCAAGAAGGGCTTTTACTTGCTGGGCTCCTCTGCCTTAACCTGCAAGGCAAATGGTTTATGGGATAGATCATTACCCAAATGTTTATGTAAGTACTCATTAAAATGTGTTCACATGCCCCTTTGCCAAATGCTGCCCTGACACCTCCCCCCCAAAAAAAAGTCACAGAACATAAAGCTTCTCCAACACAAAGCTATTAATACTCTTCCTAAAAGGACACCAGTCCACTATATATAGTTTAGTAAGAACATGTTATAACAGTGAATTGTAGACAATATGGAAAAGTAAATTACTTTTTAGATCAAAGGCAAGTTTATTTTTAAACATGGGAAATTTAGGAAATAGAGTTGTCCTCATTTTTTTTTTGTAAAGACAGGCAGAAATGGTAGGGAAAAGTATAACCTTTGAAGGATTAGATTCTTAATATGCATCACGTGTGCATGCTAAAAGTAATGAATGATAATTACATTATAGATTGATTTTCTGAAAATCCATAATCCATTATTGCTCTTGTAAGACTTTCAGCTGTTAAGAGTATTTTCAGATTAGATTTGTATTGGATGCTTTTGCTTGAAAGTGACTGCCAGTCTTGCTCTTAAAGATAGCTCACACATCTAATTGTACCTATAAGTTTAATTTCCCTTGAGAAAGGGTAAGATAACTTCCCCAAAATGTGTCACTTATTCTCAGATGGCACAGGCTGAATCTATGTACTAGTAGGTACAATCTTAGATCGAAATTAGGAAATCCAAACATATCCAATATGTCAGTATCTCACTTTGCTCCTAGCTTTATAGTCTCTGTCACATAAACACTTGGGGAATTTTACTGAGAAAGGTGGGTTTGGTTTTTTTTCTCTTTTGAAAGATTTTTGAAAGTTCTGTTAAGGCTTTTTAGATGATTCTATTAGTTTCTTTCATGAAGCTAATGAGTTCTAAATCCCTAGAAAGGAATATTTTAACTGGCTTTCATTTTCTAGGGTAACTAGTCCCTACCAACTTACTACCATTAAACAGTCCAAATTACTATCAATAAGGGAATGTGAAGACCTCAAAGGAGCATTTTGTGGTGTATTTCAGTAGAAATAAATTACTGATGATTTTTTTTCTCTTTTGCTTTACCTAGAAATGGTTACTTCTTAACCCTTTCACTTATCCTCATCTAATTAGTTTCTCTTTAAAACTTTTCCCAGATAAAATCTGTTTTTTCTTCCTTCTCACAGATAGGAATGAACAACAATATAAAACAGGTTAAGAAATTATGTGACTTGGAGGACGCCTAATGGTTTTTAGCCTTTAAATCTAACTCTGCCTCATTTCCCACCTGGGCAGCTAGTGACCAAATTAATATTCTTGGTCTTTACTTCAGTGGTCTCTGCAAAATTAGTTGCAGCTTAGTCAAGTTGGCAGTAAATGAGTGACTATGGGATAAACTTTTGGCCATTGTCAACACAAATTTGGTATCTCATTAGAAAGGAAGAAAGTGATATTTATTTCTCTTGGAGGTAGTCTGGCTTCCAAAATTTTTGCTCTTTGGACCATGACTCCTGAGTAGATTGTGGCTTTCATTTTTGAGTATCATATATGGAATAAAATACACTGTATCAATTCTATGTAGCACCTTATCTATCTGAAGGGAAAATAGCCTTGTAGATTATGACTTGGTTCTTTCTAGAAGATTCTAGCAGGGGAAAAATCAGATACAGAATTGGACAACTTCTTATTCCTCAGAGGAAAAAAAAGTCTTCTGATAGGTAAGAATGCGGCTATATAGTATGTTCCAAATATTAAAGCTTAAAACTGCTCTAAGAATTTTGGGATACCTTGCATGGTGGTCCTAAAGCTAAGCCTCCCAACTTTGCTAAAGATGAAAGGAAATCTATTTTTAGCTAATATAATATTTCTCTAGCAAAGCCTAAAAATTATTCCCTAGTAAGTAGCATAGGAATGAAGAGAAAATATATTAATTTGTGCTTCACTTATCACCGAATAATATTCATCCAAGAATCTCAATGACAGTATCTTTATGTGCAAAGTGAAATCTAGAGATATATAAGGAGAGGGTGAAACCCTCAGTGTATCTATATTGCTAATTTAGAAGGAACAGTAAGGGAATGTCAGCATTTTTTCAGTATTCTACATTAACATGTCATGAGTTCCTTCCCCCCCCCAGTTATTTTTTTTTAAATGTACTGGTGTTTAAAAGAAGTGATGGAATTAGATTTTGTCTTCTCCCCCCCCCCCCAGCTATTTCGTGTGGACATCCTGGTGTTCCTGCCAATGCTATCCTTACAGGAGAACAATTTACGTATGGATCTATAATTCATTATTCTTGCACCATGAGCCGAACTCTCATAGGAAATGCTACCAGAGTCTGCCAAGAAGACAGTCACTGGAGTGGAACCCTCCCACACTGTTCAGGTAGAAGGGTACTACACTTATTTCACAGAATCACAAAATATCTGAGTTGGAAAGTACGTGATCGAGTAAAACCAACAAGCATTTATTAAGTGCTTACCGTGTGTCAGGTACTGTGATGAATGCTGGAGCTAACCATCTCAGCTTCCCCTTCCGGGGGAAAAAAATCCTTCCGAACATGCCTAACAAGCGACCATTTGGCTGGCCTCTGCTGAAAGACCTCTGCGAAGGGGAGGCCTCCTGAGGCAGCCTATTCTACCTGCAGGCAGCACTAATTGAGGGGTAGCTTTTTCTGACCCTAAGCCCAAACTTTCTACCCATTGTTCCTACTTCTGTCCCCTAGGGTAAAGTCTAACATGAATAGAACTGTAATCCTTGTGTCAGAGCCACCCATAGCAGAAAAGATTCAGGTTAATTTTACAGGTGTCTCACTTCTCCACCACCATCCCCCCAAAAAAAATTGGGTAAATTTCTTAACTGGACAGAAGTTTTGTTAAAAGTAGAAGAACCAAAGAATTAGTTGTACTCACTCAATCATACTACTTGCTATTCCCACAAAAATCTCACATTGAATATATATATATGTATACATATATTATATATATATATAATTTCTACCTTTAGTCATGAGGGTTTCTCTCAGACTGAGGTTCCTTCTCTGGTAAATTGAAGAAAACTTCTGCTTCTAGCTAAAATTTTATTTGGCATCTGCTTTTATGTGTCCACTGTGCATCCATTCATGGACACTTGTTAGAAAACTGTAAGCATATCTCCTAGAGATATGCTTGAAATTTGTGTGGCTGAAAATAAGGGGTCTTTTTATTGAGGGGAAAAAACATTTTATTACAATTTGAATTAAAAGTCATTAATAAAGTTTTTATTCTGTGCCATGTGACAGCAAGAAATGACAGTTGTCATGTAGAGAAATATGTCTCTATGGGGAAAGTGGTTTATTTTTATTTTCAGGGCTTTTGCCCTAATTTATTATTTATTTTTAATATTCTTTTGTTTTAAATACCAAATTATTTTTCTTCCTTCAACCACCCCCATACCCACTGAACAAGAAGTCATGTGATTTACCAATTACACATATGAAATTATGGAAAATATATTTCCATGTTAAGCATATTCTAAAAAAGAAAGCAAGGAAAATAAAAGAAGTGTGAAAATTATAGTTCAGTTTGCACTCAGAGTTCATCAGTTCTCTTTCTGGAGGTGGGAATTTTTTTTCATGATTTTCATCATGAATCCTCCATAATTGTCTTAAATCATTATATTGATGAGAATAGCCAACTCTTTCACAGCTGACCATCATGACAATATTGTTGTTACTGAGTACAACTATCTGGTTTTGCACACTTCATTTTTCAGTGTTTCACATGGATCTTCCCAAGTTTTTCTGAAACCATCCCCCTTGTCATTCCTTATAGCAAAATAATATTCCATCACAATCATAGACCACAGCTTATTCAGCCATTCCCAAGTGATGGGCATCCCCTCAATTTCCAGTTCTTTGCCACCACAAAAAGAAGTAGTAAAATTTTTTTTTGTGCCTCTAGTACCTTTTTGTTTTTCTTTGATCACTTTGGGATACAGAGTTACTAGTGGTATTGCTGCATCAAAAGGTATACAGTTTTATAGACCTTTGGGTATAGTTCCAAATTATTTTCCAGAAGGGTTGGACTAGTTTACAGCTTCACTAACAGTTCATTATTTTACCTATTTTTCCACATTTCCTCTAGCATTTGTCACTTCTAATAGGGGTTAGGTGGTACCTCAGTGCTGTTTTAATTTGCATTTCCCTCTATTAATACTGATTTAGAACATTTTTTCATGACTAGATAGTTTTCATTTCTTCTGAGAGCTGCCTGTTCATATATATTGACAATTTATCAATTTTGGAATGACTCTTATTTATATAAATTTGACTCAGTTCCCTATATATTTGAGAAATGAGGCCTTTATCAGAGAAACCTGCTTTTTTGATATTTCTTCATTCTCCATGGTACCTTTTAGCAAAGTGTAGTTTCCCTAATTATCTCTTTTAATTAGGTGTATTTTTGCTTTTGCTTTGTCTGAGATCCTAATTTCTACCCCTGCCTTTTTTACTTTAACTGAAGCATATAAACTCTTCTCTAGCCCTTTATTTTAACTCTGCATATCTTTGTGTTTCAAGTACTTTCTTGCAAGGAACACATTTTTGTATTCTGGTTTCTAATCCATTCTGCTATCGACCTCAAATTTATGTGTGAGTTAATTTCATTCACATTCACAATTATTACTGTGTATTTCCCTCTATTCTATTTTCTTTTCTCTCTCTCTCTCTCCCTCCTCTCTCTCTCTCTCTCTCTCTCTCTCTCTCCCACCCTCCTTCCCTCCCTTCCTCCCTCCCTCCCTCTCTCCCTCTCTCTTCTTCTCTCATACTGTCTCTCTTTAGAAGTCTGTTTTGCTTCTGACCACTGCCTTTTTTTGTCTACCCTCCCTTTTATCACCCCCTCCTTTTCTTATCACTAGTTCTTAGTTCCCTGTTGGTTGTTAGATTTTTATGCCCAACTGTATTCGCGAGTGCACACACACACACACACACACCACACACACACACACACACACACACACTACTACTACTACTACTACTACTACTACTACAACTTTTGAACCAATTTAGATGAGAGTGGGGTTCAAGCATTGTCTTCTACCATTTTCTCCTTTTTCCTTCTACTGTAAAATCTTTTCCTTGCATTTTTTTGAGATAATTTTCCCATTCCTCTTCTCCCCCATTCTTCTCTCAGTGCATCTCTATTGCTCACCACTTCCTTTTTTCTTTTTTGAGATCATCCCAACATAATCAACTCACACCCATATGTACCTTCTGTCTGTGCAGACTCCTTCAAACTATCCTAAGGAGTTACATGTATTTTCTTTCCATATAAGAATATAAGCAGATTAATCTTATTGATTCCCTTATGATTTCTCTTGTGTTTACCTTTTTATGCTTAGTCTTGTGTTTAAATGTCAAATTTTATATTTACCTGTGGTCTTTTCATCAGGAATGCTCCAAAGCCCTCTATTTCATTAAATATCTATTTCTCCCCAAAAGATTAACTCAGTTTTGCTGGGTTAGTTATTCTTTGTTTTTTAATCCTAGCTCCTTTGCCTTCTGGAATATCATATTCCAAAGTCTTCCCTTCTTTAACATTGTTGTTCAGTCATTTTAAGTTGTGTCCAACTCTTTGGGATCCCATTTGAGGTTTTCTTGGCAAAGTCACTGGAGTGGTTTGTCATTTCCTTCTCCAGCTCATTTTACAGATGAATAAACTGAGGCAAACAGGGTTAAGTGACTTGCCCAGAGTCACACAGATAGTAAGTGTCTGAACTGTTTTTCTGGATGCTTACAATATTTTCTCCTTTCATTTTGGGATCTCTTTCCGTAGATAATCAATGGATTTTTTCTATTTCCATTTTACCCCCTGGATCTAAGTTATCAGGCCAGTTTTTCATGATAGTTTCTTGAAATATGATGTCTAGGTTCTTTCTTTTATCATGGGTTTCAGGCAGTCTAATAATTCTTAAATTATTTCTCCTGAATTTATTTTCCAGGTGAGTTGTTTTTCCAATGAGTTATTGCATATTGTCTTATATATTTTTTTTTCACTTTTGTAATTTTGTTTTATTGTTTCTCAATATCTCATAGAATCATGAGATTCCACTTGCACAATTCTTATATGTAAGGAATTATATTCTTCAGTGAGCTTTTAAAAGTTCCTCTTTTTTCATTTGATCAATTCTGCTTTTTATGGAATTCTTTCCTTCAGTGAATGTTTTTACCATTTGAACATTTCTATTTTTTGAGGTTTTGTTTTCCTCACTATTTTTGTACCTCTTATCAAACTGTTAATTCTCTTTTCATAATTTTCTTGCACACTTTCATTTGTTTCCCCAATTTTTCCTCTACCACTCATTTCTTTCTTTAGCACTAGCTGTAATTCTTGTTGTGCTTATGTCCAATTTGCATTTCTTGTTGAGGCTTTGCTTGCAGCTGTTTTCATGCTGCTGTTTCTTTGTGAGTTTATGTCTTGGTCTTTCTCTGATATTGTAGTAGCTTTTTATGGTCAATTTTGTTCTTTGCTCATTTTCCCAGCCAGTATCTTGATTTTGAACTCTTAAATTTGGGCTCTGCTTACCTGGGGTTTGGGAGGTACCGTCCTAAGTTTTAGGGTTTTTGTTTTGTTTTGTTTTTTATGCTGCTGTTTTCAGAACTAGTTCTAGAGGTTCACAAGGTTTTTGTTCTCCCAAAGTGGTTTGATCTGGAGAGAGGTGTGGTCCTGGCCTGCACTCTTATGTTTATCCAAGAAGGGGCCCTGTTCCTTGTGATTGATTGTAAGTCCTCCTCTCCACCCTGGAACTGTGACCAATGACTGTGACCCAAACCTGTGTGAGAGCAGTAGATTTGCCAAACTGTACCAGGTCCTGCATCCAGTGACAGAAAAAGGTCCCTAGTAATACCTTTCTGACCAGTTGGACCCTCTTACCATCTCTGGGCTGAGAGCTCCTGAAACTTCTGCTGCTTCTGTCACAGTCACTTTGAAGGCCTACCCCTCATGCTGCTGTTGGGTATACTTTGGACCAACCCCCATCTCAGTGTTATAGATCTCTTCTGGAGACCTCCTAAGTTTACTTAGACTGTAAAAAATGTTTCACCCTGACCTTTTGTTGACTCTGCCACTCAGAATTCAATTTGAGGCATTATTACAAAGTTGTTTGGGTAAGAATGTTGGGAGAGTTCAGCTAGTGTGCTGCCTCTCTCAAAAATGACCCTTTCTCACCCCCTACTTCCTTAAAGTTCTGTCCTTGGAGTTCTTCCTTGGAAGATTCAAGTATAATAATTAATCATCCTCATGCCCTTTCCCCTTAGATATCAGTTATAGTTTTTGTTTTTGTTTTACCCAAAGAAACATGCCTCACCTGATCAGAGGCTAAAGATCTCTTTTCTCATCTCATCTCTTTGAATATTAGATGGAAATGTTATTCTAATCATTCAACATGATCCACTATTCAACAGTGGTTATCAGCTCTCTAGGCTGTTTCTATGCTTCCTAAATTAGCTTTAGATGTGAACAGGGAAGGATGATTCTGAAACAAGCTGCTTAATAACCATGCAAGTATAACCCCCAGTCCCTAAGCCAAGTGATTAGGTACTATCTCTTTATTGATCAATGAGTATCAGGGCATAATTGTCAAGAGTGAAAGAGCTCAGGTTGTTTTTTTGTTTGTTTGTTTGCTTTAGTTGTTTCGGCTTTTTGGAGTCTCTTTGAGCTTTGGAGTCTCTGCAATCTCTTTGTGTTTGGGGAGCTTCTGACTTCCAGCTTTGAGAGAGAAAATGGAAAATGTTAGCCTTATGTCAGGTTGCTGAAGAAAAAGACCCTAGGAAGAATCTAAAATGAGGAGAGCTGACAGTCTCCAGGATGTCTCTATCTGCAGCTTGCTACACTAGAGACTTTGGGGAATTCTCTCTTGGGTGAGATCTAGAACTATCTCTTGGTTGAGGAGAGTTATCTGACTCCCAGTGGGAGAGCTTTTTCATTCTATATTGTCTGGTATATATTCTGATATGTATACTTTCTTTACTTCTATTTTCTACTGATTTGGATAAATGGATTTCATAGCTAAGTACTATGTGTGTTCATTGTAGAACTGGTGTTTGGTGGGGAGGGAGTCAAACCTTGGATATAAAGCTCAGGGTCCTCCTCTTCTCTAATAAGGAGCAAAGATCTGAAGTTAAATTGAATCTAAAAATCACATCCTCTGAACCAGTAATATTTAAGGAGGCAGAGATATCTGTATCTATATGTATATAAAAATATGTATATCTATATACTGATATAGATATATCTGTTTCTTCTTTCTTAGAGAAGGATTGGGGGACAATCTTTTCTGCCTCCTTTTGAGCCACAAAATGACACTTCTGTGCTAGGTGTGTGTGTAGGATGGAACACCAAGAAAACACATTGTTTTAGCAGTTTTAAAGGCCTTTACTATACACACTGCAATGAGTTATGGATTATCTGGTATAGCCATTTCTGCTGATGTTGGTGAATGCAGTAACTCAGCACTTTTAGGAAATGCTCTTGGAAGATGGGGGAGGGGCAAGGAAAATGTTTGTTTGTTTGTTTCCTAGTACCTAATCTTCTAGTGATGAGTCTTTCTATACTTAGCTAATATGGTCCTCAGACAAAAGACATTCTACCACCAGATCCAAGCCTTGCTAGTTTGGCAGGACCTGTCAGAATTTGTGTTCTCCTGATACAGCCTTCAAAAACCCAGAGTCAATTCTAAGCCATAAGGATGGATCTGAGGAAATCGCAGGGCAGGAAAGACTAAAAATAAAATTAATAATAAAAGTAGTTGACAATTATAAATAATTTAAAGGCTCACAAAAACATTATGTATTATTTCCCTTGAGCCTGAGAATGATTCTGTGAGATACTTACTACAGATTTTATTACCCATTGTACAGATGAGGAAACTCGGGTTTGCAGAGATGAAATGACTTGTCCATGGTCACATAGTAACTAAGTGTCAGAAGCTTGACTTGAACACATGACTTCCTGAATTCCCACTTCACCACTTATTTATTATTATAGTCATCGCTCAGTTTGCCACTGGTTGTAAGATCCCTTGTAGTTTCTCAATCACCCATTACATCAGATCAGAACTGGCTATTTTTAAATGAATTTGGTCAGTTCCATTTTATTCTCTTCTTTTTCCTTTCTATTCTACCTATAGAACATAACAGTTCCTCATTTTTAAAAGTTATTTCATCAGTAATTTACTCTTGTTGCCTGTTTTTGTTCAATAGGAAACAATCCAGGGTCTTGTGATGATCCAGGAACACCAGCTCATGGCTCTAGGCTTGGGGAAGAATTCAAGGTTAAAAGTCTTCTCCGTTTCTCCTGTGAAATGGGTTACCAGTTGAGAGGCTCTCCTGAGAGAACATGCTTGCTTAATGGATCTTGGTCTGGAGTACAGCCAGTGTGTGAGGGTAAGTAGCCCTTTCAGTAGTCCTATACTTCTGTGTCTCTGTGATCCCATCTCTTGGGATTTTTACTCATAATCAATGTAACAGTTTTCAAATATGGAATCATAAAAAATATTCAATTATGGCAGTCATGGAGTTTCTGAATATACATTCTGAATATACATGAATATACAAAGTACAATATAGAACATGGTCTCTGTCCCTCAAAAGTTTATAATCTTAATTAAAAAAGCCTTCAGACCTTTTCTGTGAATGAACTTCTTTTAGTTTGCTTAAGTTTATGATCACATTGGGGGAGAGGGTGGTGGTAAGCGATCAAGCAGAGGAAATGTAAGCTACTCAGGGAGATAGTTATAGACCATTATGCTCTCATCCCCAAGAACCAAAGTGAGAACATAATATTATTAGCTGTCTTATATTTGAATTCAAAAAACTTTGACTAAGCACCTACTATGTGTGAGACTAGAAATTAGCCAAGTGGTAATCCACCTTTTGCTTAAAAACTTCATTGGGGGAGTATATTACCACTGAAGGAAGTGCATTCTTGTACTGGATAGATATAGTTTAAGGAATTTCCTCCTAACATCCAACTACCTGTTGCTACTAGTTCTGCTCTTTGGGGCCAAGGTGAACAAGTTTAATCTCTGTTTCATGCAGCAGCTGAAAAATTAGGAATATTGGACCCATAGAGGTGAATTAACTTGCTTAAGGTTACTCCAATCTCATGAATCCACTGCGGTGCCCTTTCCTCTAAACAGTTTTGCCTTTTTGTAGGCCTCTGCTCTACATCATTTGTGCCATGTGGACACTTACTGAGGAAGGCACTTAGAACTCATTGCTCCTCAGTTGATGATTTCCCTTCCTAAGTTTATTTATCAATATTGACTAGTTTGTGAGCCACAAGCTTATAACTATTACATAGATTACTTCCAACAAAATGAAATTATTAAAATTCTACCAGCAACCTTCAAGAAGCAAAAGAAGGTTAAGATAGACATGTACATTTCCAATAAAATTGATTCAGAATTATTCAGTGACATTCTAAGTGGCAGATAACTAATGAGTGAATGACAATGAATTGCATATAAGGTGGGGGGAAGGGTGCCAAAATCAGAAGAACTATTAGGATTTGTAGATTTAGAACTGGAAGAGACCATAGATGTCATCTAGTCCAACTTCTTCATTTTACAGATGAGGAAACTAAAGCACAGAGAGGAAAAGTTAATTGCTCAAGATTATATAGATAAATGAGATCTGAGCTAGGATTTGAATCCAGGCTCTTTAACTCCACATTGTGCATATTTCCTATTATATCATATTGTCTCACATGATAAAAATCAGATATTTGGGGCATTTCCTGAAGAAAAAAATGAAGAATGGACTTAGAAAAGAGAATGGCTGTAGAAAACTGAAGTTATTGTTCTTCGGACATTGAGATGCTATGCAAAACATGTTGACGAGAGAAAAAAATCACTCATTTTCAAAGAACTGCTAAAATGAAAATTTCCCAGTGGAAAGCCCACTTTTATTTTCTCACTGAAGGATTTTGAAGCCTAGTTTGAACCTTAATGGAGGTGGATATATGTGTCAGTTACATGGTGATCTTAGGTACCAAAGTATCTTATTCATTCTAGTTTAAGAGCTTAGGACATCATTTGCTATATTAGGAGATCCCCAAATAATTTAGTTTTGCAAATTTAAAAGTTGGCAAGAATTAAAGCCACTATGGATGAGTGATGTGTTCCCATGGAATCTCATTCCTTTAGGACTGTGATAGAACACTGTGAATGCTAGTCTTATAAAGCATCAATGTATTCATTCATTTGAATAAGAGAATTTAATTGCATGTCACTCAGTAATCTGCTTTATGTAGTTCATACAAAGTACTTTTTAAAAATAGCAAGTAGTTTTGCCCCAAATTGAGAAATTTAAAAGGATACTGTAAAACTTTCAAAAGTCTTCACTAAGAATATTAAGACCATTCTCCCAAAACCCTCTCTCCACTCCTCAAAACTCCTTATTATAACCCTTGCTCCTTCAGTACTGGAACTATTTCATCGTGTAGAGTATCTAGAACATAGTAGATGTGTAGTAAATGCCTACTACCTTCTATTCTTTCCTTCCTTCCCTCCTTCCTTCCTTCCTTCCCTCCCTCCTTCCTTCCTTCCTTCCTTCCTTCCTTCCTTCCTTCCTTCCTTCCTTCCTTCCTTCCTTCCTTCTTCCTTCCTTCCTTCCTTCCTTCCTTCCTTCCTTCCTTCCTTCCTTCCTTCCTTCTTTCCTTCTTTCCTTCCTTCTTTCCTTCTCTCTGGCCATTCCTTGTAAATCTTATTTGCTGGATTCCCATCTACTTCCCAGTTTCTCTGTGTGGCTATATCTCAGACTCTACCCTGGGTCCTCTTCTCTCTCTACTGCCTTTCTTGGTTATCGCATCAGTTGCCGTGAATTCCACTATCATCCCTATGTAGATAACTTCCAGATCTATATATTCAATATTAATCTTTCTCTTGAGCTCAAGTATCAGATTGCCAATTGTCCTTTCAATGTTTTTTGCTGGATGTCCTGTTGTCATCCCTAGTTTTCTAGTTACCTGACTTCAAAGACTTAGAGTTACCCTTCACTCTTCCTTCTCCTGCACCCCTCACCCTGATTATCTAATAAGTTCCTAGTCTTGTTGACTATACTTCTGCAATGTCTCTTGCTTTTGTCTACTACTCTCCACTCACACAACTATCACCTTAATTCAGGTTTCCATCTTTTACTTGTACTATTATAGTAGCTTCCAATTGGTTCTTCCTGCCTTCAGTCTTTCCTTTTTCAAATAATTCTTTCATATGACTGCCAAATTTGTATTCCTAAAGCACAAATGATTCCTAATCATTTTACTCCATTTTCTCAGGAAACTCCAGTGTTTCCAGTTGCCATTAATGCAAAGAACAAATGCCTCTGTTTAGCAGTTGAAGCCATTCTTAATTTGAATGAATCCTACCTTTCAAGCTTATTAGACATCACTGTCATTCACACATGATTTGGTATGGCCAAACTGGCCTCCTTGCTGCTACTTGTTCACAACTTTCCATCTCTTCCATTGCTTTTGCAAAGGCTGCCCCCATAACTGGAAAGCATTGCTTTTTTTTTTTCTACTTTTGCCTAATAGAATCACTCACTTCCTTAGAGATTTAAATGAATTGTCACCTCCTACCTAATTTCCTCCTGTGTTAGTGTCCTTTTCCCCAGATATTACTTTGTTATATGTTACTGAGTCCATTTAGTCTAAGCCTTACATTTTATAGATAAGCAATTTGAGACCAAAAGAATGTAAGCGACTTGTTTAAGGTCATGTGAGGCATTTTGGTAGAGCAGAAAGACCACTGGCTTTGAAGTCATAAGGTTTATATTTAAATCCACTGTCTGCCACTCAACACACATATGACCATAGGCACCTTACTTACCTTCTTTAAGCATCAACTTCTTTACTTATAAAATAAGGAGATTAGACTAAATGGCCATTAAGATAACTTTCTTCTATAAAGTTATGATTTTATAATCCTATGCAGAACAAAAAAGTCACAGAATTTGAGAATGTAAGGGACCTCAGGACCACCCTGTCTAAGCCATGTCAGTGACCTTGAGCACCAGGTCAAACAGACAGTAAATGGTAGAACCAGAATTCCAACCCAAGTATTAAGTAATAGAAACAGGATTCAAAATTCAATTTCTCAAACTCAAAATCCATTTATATTTCTAATACATTCCCTCTCTAAAGGCTTATACTTTAGTAGGGAAAGTAAAATCTGTTTATTAATAACTAATAAAAAGTACATACCCAATAAATATTTGTTCAGTGAATATAATGACTGTAATAAGTTAAGGAGAGGAATGTTTTAGTTGATGATAGAAATATAAACAATACTTCCAAGTAATACATTTCATAAGAGTTCATAGGTTCACAGGATTTCATGCTGGAAAAAGCCTAAAAGATAATCTCTGCCAGTGCCTTCATCTTATAATTGGGGAAACTGATTCTGGGAGAGGTGAAAGGATATGTCCAGGGTTACAGATGCAATAAATAATGGAGTAAAAATTTGAATCCAGGTTTTCTGACTCCAATTCCCAGTTTTTCCTTTGAAACCACACTGACTGTGTAGCTATTTTTAGCCCAGGATGTCTTTGGCTACAGTTACCCACGTAGTAGTCATATGCTTTTTTGTGATTATGCCAACCTAATTTTTTATAAACCGTTACATGAGAGAACCTAGAATAGATGGAGAGTGAGTCACAAACAGAGGTAGTCATGGGATATAGACTGATTCAAGAAAGAACACTGCCCCTACAATCACAGATTAGTGGTCATCTAATCTGGCCTTCTCATTTTAAAGATGATGTATCTGAGACCCAGAGAATTGAAGTGACCTACCCATGGCCACACGGGTTCAAATCCAGTGCTGAGGGCAAGAGTGTGATTCTATTCTTTTTCTCTCACCTAGCCCCCCAACACACATACACCACAGTTGCAATGTATAATTATCAGGAAAGATATCATCACCATATGGCTGTTATGAGAGCTCCCTGAGACAACCAGCATAACTATTGGAGAAAAAAGAAATCAGAGTTAATGTCTTGGCTTGCTTTTAAGAAGTACTTAACTGCTTCTTTCAATTAAAATGAAGAATGGTGGCAAAGGAGCATTTAATTATATACATTGAATGGGTGCATATATATATATATATATATATATATATATATATATATATATGTTTAATGATACTTATTGCAAGTATCTCCGTCATCTATTTGGAGACAAATGATAATAACTCTCAGATTTCACTGCTTTTTTTCTTGAGTTTGTTGAAACATTACCCATGGCTAAGGATGTAGGAGCTACAGTCAGCTTTACCAAAAAGAAAAAAATGCTGATAGTAACTTTGAGCTATTTAAAAAAAGGTTGGCCATAGTTTCATGTTCCCAGCCAAGTTATGTTCTTGATGCTATAATAACCTCTACTG